CTGGAAAAACAGAAAAGAAAGAGGTAAGAAGATAGAAAGTGAAGAAAGAAAGAAGCAGGATGGCAAGGCAGTCACTTAAACAGGCTTCCAGGCTTTGGCATTTAAGTTGTTGATTAAAACCAAATTATTGTGTTCTTATCTGGAAAAGGATTAGAGCAAAGGTCAGCTGAGCAGTAGCAATGGTATAATTACACAGGAAAAACTTAGCCTTAGTGCAGGGAGAAGACCGGGAATATTCGTGGAACCCCAGCACCCCTTACAGTTTACACAGATTTAATAAAAAATGATTTATTTGCAGGCTTACTTGTAAACCCGGTCACAGCAACAGAAAACAACAATATTTTCAAAAAATAAATGAATCAGTTGCACTGCCAATACTCTAATGCCCTACTAATGTCTCATTCTCTTCTTAGCTGTAAGCTACTAGACCTTTCAACAAGTTTTTGGGATTCTATTTAGTTCCTATATTAAGTTAGGGAAAAGTAAAGGCTCTTTAAAGACTCATTAATATCTACTTCTTTGTCTGCTTCTTAATATCTACTTCTTTGGGTGGTGAGCAATTGCATTGTGCATCACTTGTTTGTACGTATTATTAGTAGTAGTACTATTATCATCACTGTTATTATTATTATTGTTATTGTTATTATTATTTTCCTGTCTTATTAAACTGTCTTTATCTCAACTCACGGGCTTCACTTTCCATTTCTCTCCCCCGTCCCAGAGAGGGAGGGGGGAGGGTGACCGAACGGCTGCGTGGTGTTTAGCTGCCGGCCGGGTTAAACCATGATAAAATTTAACCAGTGCAAGCTGCTGTGACAGATTTTAATGGGAAATATGGTATAAAGTTTTGGGGTGGTCAGCAAGGAAATTTTCTTTTTGCACTACTACACACAGATCATATATTGTTTTACATATCATGTGAATTGCCAGCACACAAAACATACCGTAGAGATTTTGGGGACAGTGGTTTCTAACAGTAGGACTGTAACTAAACAGGAGCCTTCAAGAGCTGGAGACACAAATGGGAAACAGCACAAATTCTCTTGAAAGGAAGATGTGCTGTTATGTCCTGAGAGACTGGTATTTCTGTACTCATTTTCCAATCATCATCAAGGTAACAAAAAATTTCTATATCCATTACAGTGAAGGAGCTCAAACTGTCACTACAATTTGTCACCATGGCAGAGCACCTTGTCCATGACCTGCAGACCAGCATTCCTTCTTCACCCTGTGCACCACCAGTATTAAAATAATAAAATTTAAAAAATTAAAATAATAAAAATCTACACTTTATTCTTTACAAACAAGGAAGAATGAGAAGACACCCTTTGGCTGGGGCTGTCTCAGCTGGGAGCTTTTTCTCCAGGTCTCATTCACAACCTCCAGTGGCTGCCAGGAGGCAGGAAGACTTCCCTAATTCTCACCGCTTTCCAATCTGGAAAGATTGGAAAACTTCACATAATTAAAACCAGTTGCCAAGGCACTCTCATCTCTTCCAACAGGCTGTCACCCTGCTACTCAGGTGCTTGTGGTCAAGTGGTTCACTTTGGCTTAAATGAAGTCGCAAAAACCTCTCTACAAGGCAAATGCACATTCAAGGGGCTTTATAAATCCACATGATTGAAGATGATAAATTCTACGTGAAAAACAAATCATTTCATTACTTTCAAAGATACCTCACAAGGACAAATGAGCAAACTAAGCTGCTTTCAAAATTCAGCTTGGTTTTAATAAACCTCTTTTGCCCCACAAGCATCTGTCTCAGCCACATTGAACTAGCTACCTATTGTGGTAACCACATTAATAACAAACCTTTCAAAGACAACAGTCTAGCAATACAGCAGAACAGTACTGAAAGAAGCTGCCATTTTCATCTCAGAATTTGAAAAACATCTCTGATAGAAGTGTTTAATATATTTGTGCAAGTTTAAAATCTAAGCATGGCCTCTGCCCTCCCAGTACTTTTTTCAGTACTATGTAATTCCAGCATTTTTATTAATGTCAATGTAAGTACATGTTTATATATATGGTGAGCCCCATGTCAGCTTCAACCAGGCACACTCACCCAAATTCTTCTGTTCTTGCCACCAGCAACTTCAGGCCACAGTCTTTCGAGGTTCCCTCCTACAAAAGCCAAAGCGCTCACCAGAAAACCCCCAGCTGTTGGACCTCAGAGTTGGATGTACTTGTCTCTAGCACTACTCAAAATGTTATGAACCAAAATGTTTGTATTTCTTTCAAAATCCCTCTTCTGTTCACCAAGGTGGGCTCCCACGCTGCCTCTCCAAAACATCAACCCTCTGTCACATGCCATCACCATTTTGTCCTCTGGTCTGCAGTTCCTCCTGGATACCCAAACCAGGTGAAACCCCCAGCAGCCCAAATCACAGCTCTATTCAAATATACTATATAATGTAATAGTACAGAAGCAATGGCTCAAACTGCTCCTTTTTCGGGTTGGCCAATGGGAAACCATTTCTGAAGGAGAAAGAGCCTTTTCATATGATCCTCCAGATTTGCTTTTCTTTCCTCTTTTCTTCTTCCATCATTCTCCCTACGACTGTTCCCTGCATACTAACACGTTTTCCATCGATGCAGCACGGCATGCTCTTGCTCAAGAATTCAGCTGTGACATCATCAAAGCAGCACAATTATTAGCCAGTTTTAGTAAAACATACATTAGCCACAAAGTAGGATTGAGTTTTTCTCCATTGCCTATTTGAATGAATTCTGTTATTTCCCTGTTGATATAAATAATTATCGTAAATGGCACTATGTTTTTTTTTCCAATTAAGAAAACATCCCAAAAAGTAACTGATTGCAAGTATACATAAATGATGTGTTATTATACTGTAAATTATACATCTGCAATCTCAGATTCAATTAGCAATTAGCCAGGAAGGTAAGAGAGCAGTGTAATAGTTGGGAGCCATGAGTATTACTGTAAGATGATGGGGCGGATAATTTTGTGACTTGTTTTGTTCCTGCTGGTGTGGAATTGGATACTGTGGAGTAAAGTCTGCCATCTGGTGCAAGTGAGAAAAACAGAATAATGTATATCATCAGTGGATTTTTATGTCAGTATAAACATTTCTATCAGAGACTAGAAGATATTTGTTATCCATCCTCCTACAGTGCAGTGATAAGCAGAATCAACACTGCAGCTATTACTTTATACTGGCCAGAAAGAAATGGCTTGAAGTTGTAACCATATCCTACACGTATGAAATCATAACACATGACCAAATGGCAAGTAATGAAGCTGTTACTGAACAGATTCCAGCAAAATTTTGAAAAATGAACCAAAGAACAAGTGAAGAAAATATACCTAAGTTTCTTGAGTTTATCCTGAACTCTCAATCTTAACTGTATTTTACACATGCAGCAGAAGGCTTACGTAGTTGCTGAACAGTGATGTCTACACAGTCCTGAAAGTTACTAATTTACAAGTAATTTATTGAATTGCTGGGTGCTCTACATCACAATGTTTCCATACCATTCATTTTAAATCGAGCTACAGAATTATTGAACTTACTAGCAAACTGGATGTACAGTACTTGAAATATGCTGTCCCAATATCAAAACATATAACAAAATCAAGTTTTCCTTCCAAATTGAGAATATAATATCAATTATTAAGTTTCAGTTTAGTTTCAGAAGATAAACTTATTATGTATTGAATATTTAAATACATGCAGACAAGTATTCCTTGTAAATTATCTAATTTCAGACTCTGCCAGTCAGCCAAAAAACTTAATTTGAAAAGCTGAGAAAGTCTCACAGTTGTGTTGCATGTTACTACAAATATTCAGGGAGGCAAACTATGAAAATCCTTTTATTTGCCATATCTGGTCTTCAAAAGATGGTTTGTTTGGCACACTATTGCCTGTTCTCGCTACTGGATTGGCTGTCCTCAAGATATTTGGTTCTTCTTTTAACATACCAGCACTGAGAGTCAAGTTTCCGTGAGACTCTTGACAAACAAAAATAAGTGTTTCTAGCTTATATATTTGTGGGTGAAATTTTAAAAATATAGTTCATCTCCACCTTAGCATTAACAAAGTAACCAAAATAAGGATGTTTATTTGATAAGCATATTATTTTAAAATTAATGTATAGATTTTCAGAGGCATGACAAGTTTTGTATGGGACAGGTATTCCTGGCTGCCAGAAGGAACAGAAAAATTGGGCATCAAACATTCTGGCTTCCCTTTGGAAGAAGAGAGATTTATGAGGGAGCAAACACACAATACATTCTCACAGCATCAATGAGAAGACCAATAGCTTACATGCAGAGCTAAGTACTCAGAGTGAGATGAAGTGTTTGTCCATTAAGATTAACGGGTACCACACATTCCTGCATAAAGCATGTTTTCCTATTCCCATTCTTATTCTTCCCTATAGAAGTAAAGTGTATTTTTATAATCTATTGAATCTGGATTTTTAGTTGCTATTCTTTTAGTTGTCCCCCAAGTCATCCCCAAAGGAGATTGCTTATATAAAAGAGGTCACTCTCATACAATTACCACCTCCACCAACATCATGTATACACAATAAGACAATTTAAAAACCAGCACTACTGCCCTGACTTCAGCTGTCTATCCCATACAGAAGACCATGATGATCTCCTTTTGCCATATCTGAGAAATGTGGCTGAGTTGCAAAACATCAAACATTTCAGATCTTCAAATATATGACAGTGCCATGATATAATATATATATATTATAATATCTATGACAGTGTCAAAGTATCTTCTTATGTCTACAAACAAGGGAAAATCTACATTTGGCCACTCCATTGCACAACAAGTTATATTTCCCCATTAAGGAACAGACACATTGCAACATGCAACACTAAGTGACAAAGCACAACTCCAAAAGTATAAAACCACTTCCAATGTAATTGTTGCCTATTTCTAAATTGTAAGAGCCCTCTGAGGATCACATAAGTCCTTGAAAAATTATCGCAGCATAAAAGCTACATCATAAGGAGCACTTACCCTTGAAGTGCTTTTTCTCCAAACCAATCTCCTTTCCCTAAAGTACGGAGAAAGACTGGATCTTCACTGGGGGAGTCTTCACGAGTAACATTCACCTGTTGAAAAGCCAAAACCCCCAGCATTTAGAAAACCTTTAATTAAGGAATACAGCCCATTTGTTCAGAAAGGGATTAGTCATCTCCCAGATCTCTCAAGAAGGGTTCCAGTTCATATTCAAACCATGTAAGTCACCAGTACTGAACTTTTCCCTCAGCCATCAGCAACCAGTTACTAATTCTCCATAAACTAATCTCAAGCCATCCAAGAAAATGAATTATACATTATATACAAATGAGTTATTTCCCACCAACAAGCCTACTACTCTCAGAAAAATACAATACTTGTGTTTTTCGAAGGCTCTAAACATGGAGTTGGCTGCACAAGCACAGTCATTGCCCATATGGAGTCAACAGCTCAAACAGGTTCCAAATATTTTATGTGTATAAGACAGACACAGGGCATAGGCTTCTGATAGCTTTGTTCCACATAATTTCTTGCATTGATAAGTTCACTTAAGGGAGAGCAAAAAAAGAAAATCTACCTTTAGTCATAATTTAAATGAAACAGTTTGGATCATTATAGGCTGAAGGATGGCTCCTTTCATTTTCATCATGTCCTGAATTCATTGAGGAGGTAATTCTAGCCAGAGCAAAAATAAACTATTTTCATCCCAGTATAAAGAAAAAATAAAACCAAGATGGTATTTTGATTTTTGCAGTAAAAGAGAAAAACAATTACTGCTGATGGAATGGAGACTTTTACATGAAATGTAAAACAATAGGAGGTATAACCTAGTGTAAGCCCAAGTTTAAGATGGAAACACTGCAACAACAGGTAGATGACTACACATCTCCGAGTGATGATGTCCCATCTCTGGGATCCTTTTTATTTTCTGAAAAGATTTCAGAAGAAAAATAGTAATTGATCATCTGAACACACTTCTACTTTGTATTACCTTTGTAAGCGGCTCTGGTTCCCCAAGCCAGTATGGAATATAAATCCCAACAGCTGCATGACAAAGCCCTGGAACACACTGCTGGGGGCTGAGGGCAGCATGACAGTCTGCTCATTATCAAGACCTTACAAAAGGTGAGTACTATTGATGTAATGGCCCTCTATGAGAAATATTTTCTGCTTTTCAGCTATCCCTTATCAGAGGCAACTCATACTTACGGCATGCAAAAGCGGGTGAAATACTGCCCCTGCAATCAGAGAATGGTGGGGACCATCTCTCCTAACATTAACCATCTATCAATCTGGTTGTCCAGGCTCCATCCATTGCCAGTGGAAAGCGACAGGAATTTCCAAAGCCAGAGCTGTCCAAAATTTAAGTGGAATGAACAACCCTCTGGAGGGCTTACAAGGGAAAATCCCTTGTCTCTTTGCAGCATTTCAGGCTGTTTGCTATAATCAGAGCTTTTGCACATTCACAAAGCCCAAATTTAGGACAACAGACACTTCCTTTCTGATTTAGAGACATTTCAGTTTAATTTTACCATTAAGTTTACAGTTCTGCCCTGCACTTTCTCTGGTTTCTTGCACGGATGGTAAAACAGTGGGTTTGAGTCATTAGTGAGCGCTGTGTCTCCAAAACACTATGTTAAACATCTGCACTGACTCATCAAGCATCAGATGAGGGCAGGAAAAGTGTAACAGACAAGCCAGGAAGGTTTATAGCTGATGAAAAACAAACTTGGACAAACAAAGGGAACTTTAACACATATTTAAGCTCTTTCTCCATGACCTTCACTGATCCTCAGAAATGAACGCTAAGGGACTACGGGAGTAATTTCGACACAGCTCAGTGCGATGACACATCTGAACAGCCCAGCACCAGCGAAGAACCTGCATGTTATGGTATTAAATTGGTGCCACACCATTGTTTTTAAGGGGAAAATGGTGCACAATGGCACAGCATGACACACGCAGTGTCTTGGTAAAGGGAGGACACTGAATGGGCACAGAGCAGCAGCAAGTCGCGACCAAAAGGGATCAAACTGTCCCCGTCTGATGTGTTAGTCAACAGATTTCTGCTCACAGGTTGTGTTGAACAGGTTTTGATTTCTATTCACCTGGAATTGAGGAAGTACGCTAACAAATAGCACTGAATTGTAAGGCCACGTTCACCATTTTTGCAGCTGCTGCTGCATTCACTGTCTCAATTCTGCAAGGAGCTGTCTGTTGACCACAGGCAGTCTCAGATATAGGAACGTATATGGGGTAAATTGGTAGCCACATGCCCCCAAACAATTAAGTGACTAAAATCCAACTAAGAGGAGCTGGATTGAGTAGCATATGAAATTAGGAGGGAGAAAAAGGGGAAAAGGGTTTTGCCACTAAGAGAACTATCAAAGCACAGAGTGAAAGAAAAAAAAATCTTTTGAAGCATTTCTGAGAAAAGTGCTGAGCTCAGAAATTTAAAAATCTCGCTTCTCTTGACTGTCGCTGCAGAAGCTCTGACAAAAGGCAGGAGAGAATTTTTAAAAGTAGCTTTCACTGCTAATACACAATGCTGCTGACTGCAGAAAGTACACGTGAGGTTCTAGGTACATGAGCTGGAAGCAGAATTTCTTCTGTTTTACTAAGCCACCTGGGTGAGGTTTCAGGATGGGGCACGGGACATTATGTGCCCCTGCTTCAGAAAGTGCCAAGAAGCATACACTGAAATGTTTATTCCCTATCTCATTGCTATTTATTCCATGTTTCACTGCTAAGGCTCCATTTCTGCTAGCCTGGGACATACCCTTAGCGTGGGGTAGTTCTGATATCACTGTGTAGCTATGTCCCAACACAGGCATTAAAATTAAACACCCTCCCACTCCATCCTTCATCAGTCACAGATACCTCATCTCTTCTGCAACTCAGTGAGGTTGCAAGAGAAAACTGGGCAGAATTTAATCGTCCTGGTGAAAATTCCTGTCAAGCCACCAAGATCCAGCTGAGGATCTGGGAATTCCTCAACAAGCCCGTGTGCATTGTTTTGTTTGAACTCCCTTTTTCTGGCCATCAGCTGCCACAGTAAGATAAAGCTGCAAAGGCCATGGAGATAAAACCAAGGAGCTTCTCAAGAGGGATTACAGAGCTCTGGAGCAATGGTCAAGGACATGGGGGGCAGGTGGTTCTCTCCTCCATCCCGTTGGCTTGAGGAGTGGCAGGTCAACAACTGTTTGTCCAGTGGCTGCCAACAGCAGGGATTTGGTTTCTACAACCATGGGACTCTGAGGATTGAGGAGTGCTAGGAAGGTATGGAGCCACAAGACCGTGTGGGTCAAAAGCACCCTCACCAACAGGCTGGTCAACGTGGCAAGTGGGCTTTTAAAACTTGGTGAAGAAGGGAGGTGCATCCTCCCATGAAAATGGTCTGAATAGAAAGGATTTGAAGTGTACACCATGGTTGTCCGTGTTCTGGAAAAAGATGAAATCCTACTTCTCAATGGAGCAAATCAAAAGAGCACAGGGGAATACCATCAAATTCCTACCTCTACTGTCAATGATTGGCTTCATTTCAGAAACCTGTCCGTGATTATCTTCTTCATCTGAAAAAGACACCTTTTTCTTCTCATAAAGACTGCCTCCCAGCAACAGAGAGTGGAAGATGATGGTGAAAATCTAGTTTGAGTATCCGAGAGCTGACAGCTCAGGATTCAACCCAGCTGTGTACAACACCCACATTCCTCCTGTGCAGATGCCATGTTTGGTTTTTTTTTGCTAACTTTAATTATGCACGGACTACATTATTTGCCTTGGTGCAAATATCAAATCCATGAACCGGGAGGCTTGGGTTGGCTTAATTTCAAGCATATTTAACTATTTGTGTTTACTTTTCATGGATCACATCTGATCTGCAGTGGGAAACCACCATGTATTCCCTTGAATGTCAATATCCTGCTACATGGAAAGAAGCCAAATGTTTCTCAAGTGTAATAATATTAGGGGCTAAAACAAACCAAAAAAGAAAAAAAAAAAGTCAAGTGGATCAAAAAAAAAAAAAAAAAAAGGATTTTACAGGAAAAGAGGTCAAAAAGCATATTTTCCCCTGTGAGCAGTAAAGCAGAAACTTAGACCATTTTTCTTCCCCAAAGAGAAATCTGAGACTTCTCTGAGTTCCTATTATTTAATTTGGAAAAGCTACAAAGTGATAGTCATGGGAATGAAGTCTGGAAGTCAGCCTTGTAAGAGGGATACTTGGTAAAGACTAGTGTAGTATTGCAGAGTAACCTATAAAAAAATTTGGCTACAAGAATGCTGGGGTAAAGAAACATGCAGGGACTCAGAGTAGGTGTCTGCAATTAAATAAAAAAGCAAAAATAAAAAGAAAGCTCTGACCCAGCTTAGGAAACTGTGATTTAGTAAGAAGGAAAAAGCAGGGAGATGCATGCAGCATGCAGGAACACTTTGGGATGGCACAGGACTACCCAATGCAGATAACCCATCGAAGAAGAAAAGGACAGAGCTTGTTTGGTCATGTACCAAGAGACTTAACTGTCTTCAAGCCCCAAAATGTTCACTGTGAGCACATGTGTAAAACAGCATAAGATCTACTTTTTATTTTTATTTTTTTTCCCTTCAGGCCACTCTTCCCTACTGATACAATGCCAAGAAGTTTAATTAAATGTCAAGTGTTGCAACATTTGTGCCCTGGGGAGGGGAGAGAGAAAGCACTGGCTGGCACTGAATTTCAAGTGCATGTCATCACCATCGCCACCTTCACATTTCCTTAGAAGAGTGTCAACTTACCTTTCCTTTGCTGATTATAAAGAAAGTGTCCCCTCGAGCACCTTGTCGGATAATATACTCTCCGCTTTCATAGTGCGTCTGCAAAAAAAAAATAAATATATGACCAAACATAATCAGATAATGTTATTCAGTTGATAATTTGGCAGTTTTGCAAGATAGTGCTTAGGGAAACATAACCCTGGTCCAATTTTATCCAAGTCTGACACTGTTTGTGATTTAAGAATTGTCCTATGTCGAGAAATATAATAATTAAAAAGAAACCATTTCTGGCTTGCCTATTTTTCTTATTACTGTGCTAGTGCCAGCTTTTGCCCAGATGAATTATCCTCACAGCCTAAATCCACTTATTCTAAGTAAACCTGACACAGGCATTTTTGACAGAGAATACAGTACACGAACTGAACTGCAATAATATATTTGTTGTAAATATAGTTCTCTACCTAAACCACCCGAAAGCCTGATATTTTATCAGCACTGCCAGCAAGGGTTTTATTGAATAAATAATTTTTGCTTTCTCCCTGTTACTATAGTAGTTTAATCTGTCTTTTTTTGTCTTATTTTATGGAATATTTATTGCTAAATTTCTGTCATACCTTGTCAGAGCTTGCATCTAAACTTAATACGATAGCTTCATCCCTTGTATTACCCCATCAAAATCAATATGCATTTATACTTCACCAAAAAATAAGCCAATATGTTCTAAATAAAGGCTCCACACAAATATTTAACCCTCCCACCCCCAAACTAGCAGATTCTTCTGAGGTGCTCTGCACCCTGTGAATTCAACAAACATCCGTTCAACAGCAAGCAGAGGTGAGCAAAAGACCAAGCATCTTCCCCAAATCTCCTACTGCTAAAATGAAAGCTGTTGTTTTAGTCAAGCCTCTGAAGAGAACGCAGACGTGGCTGCAGGTGTCAGGTCTCCCATGTCCCAGCACTGATTTGTGACAAAGCCTGCCCCAAAATGCCACACATGCCGAGCCTGATGTCTGGGCCTCAATCAGCAGGATGAGCTGCACCAGCTGCTTAGCGCCAAGAGCCGCAGTCCTGCAGCCATCTCCGGATCCCCACATGAGTCCTCCCAACCCTCCCATTCAGGCTTCCACAAAGGGAATGGAAGGAGAATAAAGTTAGAGCCTGGAAGGATCCAAAGCTGTCTCTGGCTTTAGCAGAGACAGCTTACCTACCATATATATATGGTAGACAACTTGCCTATATATATATATATATATATTTTTTTTTTTTCCCTGGTCTGTAGACTTATTCGAAATAAATACTGCAAGCCCTTCTCCCCACAATTCAGATCATATTCCTCCAGCCCTTTGATCAGTTCCCAGTCAGGCAGTGCTTTCCATTCGCTTGACCCTCCCATGCCCTTCCTCTGGTTCATGCCTTCATCTTTACATATTCCAAGCCCATCTCTCTCATGGCTAAATCCAGCATGAATCATCCAGTGTCCAACAATGCTCTGACTTGTCCTCTGAAATCCTCCTTTTCTAACACAAATAAACTCATCCGCGTGCTTTGCCCATTCTTACCAAATTATTTCTGTGCGCTTACACTTGAAAGCAGTGTGTGAAGTAAGCAAAGCACATTAGTGCTCACTCGTGACACATGCAAACAGATGTAATTCCAAGCCTCTTGCTTTTAGCCAGACACATTAAAGGTACCAGCATAGTCTCTGGTACATATGGTACCACTATACATCCTCTGAAGAAAGCATTTTGGCAGGTATGCTGCACAAATTCATGGCATAGCTGATTCATGTTTTAGGAACACAAACTCCAATTCACATAGAGAAAACCAGTTCAAGAACAGTGGGAGAACAGCAGGAATTCTGACAGCTTGACACTGGTGTGGTGGCACATACAAAGTAATAACATTTAAGTTAAAACCACAAAAAGGGAAGTCAATAAATGAGTCTTCACTAGCCTTAGACTGACTCCATCACTATTTCTGGACCTGCCTCTGCAAGATTAAATGTAATGGCTGAGATCCAGCAAGCTGCTAAAAGCCAGGCTCTACTGAAGGGGATCCTTCTGATGGAGATAACCATCAGTCGACATCTTAAACTCTAGCTCCAATATCCTGTATACAACTGGTTAAAGAGTTTCTAAATTGCTTTTACAATAGGCAATGAATATTTCTAACCACCTTTGCAATCAGCAGATAGGTAAATAGAAATGCACCTAGTGAAACACCCCGTATTTTAGTTTAGAGCTCAATTTCTTTGATTGACTTTTCCTCCAGGAGAAGAGACCCTGGGCTGAGCCAAGAGCTCTTACCTGAATACTGTATTTTCAAAGGCAATAAACAGCACAGTGATGAAAGTTAACTTAGTGTCTTTTTCAGTGAAACCTAAGTGTCACGTAGGTTTTTGAGTATACTTCTAAAGACACAGAAGCTGCTCTATTCTCGTGTTTTTTTTCTTTTCAGCAGAGAAACAGAGCTGAAGGTCCAGCATGTAGATGGAGTGCAGAAAGCCCAAAGAGAAGCAGGCAGGCTGCAGAAACACAGCTTGACAAAGCCAAGACAACCAGGTAGAAAAGCAAATAGTTTCAAGGTCTTGTGTGTAGGGGAATAAAAGGGTTCTAAGTCATTGAGGTCCCAGCTTGGCATCAAAATCTGCACGAGTCAGCACTTGAGAAAGAGCAAGGATAAAGCAGAGAAATTACTGTTGGGAACAGATGCCTACCAACAAGCCACTAACATGTACTTTATAAGCTCTGGTGAATGGGGATAAATACTCACTTCAATGAATTATAAATGCTGCAAGACCTGGAACATTCATCATGCTAACCAGGCTGTTGTTTTACAAAATAACACCCGGCCCTTGTGGTATTTCACAACAGGGCAAGAGCTGCTTTATCCCTCTTGAACAGGTAGCAACCACCTGATCAAACCCCTCAATGCAGAAAGCCCTGAAACATGGCTAATGCTGCTGTAAAGCTTCTGCACTGAGGGAATACCATGGTGCCAGGTGAAGGGACGGAGCTGAGGCTAATCCCCACATGGCGTGGAGGTGCCTGCAGCAAACATCGAATGCTGGGATGGACATGGAGATGCCAGCACTGAATTTCTCCCCAAGGGGAGATGGATCTGCTCCACTCACATGAAGAAGCCTCCAGCCTGTCTCAGACTTCATTTTCTATATAATCCAACCTTTCCCAGTCTACACCAGTAAGGGGGGACAATGTTCTCCTCCGCAAAGCACAGAGGTCTGTGGGGAGCCTGCTGTGCAGAGTGCCAGACAAACAAATGGCCCAAGCCCTCGTGTCTGCATCAGGAACCAGTTCCGTGCTCTAACAGAAAGCTTCCTCCTCAGAAAAGAAGTGATAAAACCTTTGTGTCCTGGGGTTTCTGCTTTCTGGGAAGTGCAACACATCCATACTTCAAGACTGAAAGTTTCTGTAAGAAAACAGAAAGCTCAGATTCTTTGTTAATGCTTCTAGCTTTGGTTTTGCTTTCTGTCCCATACTTCATGTAATTCCTGTGAACATTTAAATACTCTTGTTCTTCAGTGGTGAGAGAGGAGCTATGGACACAAGGCTTCCATGTTTTCAGGGTTCCCGAGTCTATCCCATGAAGCAGAACTCGGAGCTCAAAGCCACCGGATTATATTTACAGAAACGGTGCGTGAGGAAAGGAAAAAGCTAAGCTAAAAAAAGAGAAAGCCCTCACTAGCTTTCTCAGGGAACAAAGAACTGGTCCTAAACAAAAACATTTTAATAGGAAACCAACCTGAATTACACATAAGTGAGAGAAATAGTCATGTACTTACTACATACACTCATTTGTCCACTGAATTTACTTCATGTGTACCTAGGCAGGCCCGGCAGGAGCTGGGCAAAGAGCAAACAGGCCGAGAGAGCCAGCCCAATGAGCGTTTCGAAGGCACTGGAGCATTTCTCGACTGCCCTCAGCCAGCGCTGTGGCAGCGGAGCCCTGCCAGCATTTCAGAGCAGCCCACTTTTGAACCTTTCAGCCTTTATTACCCCTCTTTTTCCTTGGCAGTTCTGCATAATACCAAATTGTTAATTCCTGAATCCTTGCTCAGACAACGGTCAGCTTCTCTTCTCTTGTATAGTATCAAAGGCTTTCAGGATCAGGAACATGATGTCCCCTCATCCCTTTTTAAAAACAACAACAACAAAACTGGGAATTCATAAAAAATCTATGATTAATAAAAGAGATATTTTTTAGACCTTAAGAAGCTAAACTGATAGGTTTTTTTCTTGTTTAATTGTTTTTTTTTTTATAACTAACACAGAAAACCTTTGTAACAAGAAGACCTGTGCAATCATCTGCTTGTCTTTGTACTTTTGTTTCCTCACCAAAAACTAACACAGATTTTTCTCCTCTCATAGTTCAAAGGGATCATTGGATTCATCTAAATAATATCAGAAAGGGAAAGATCTCACCTGCAGGAGCCATAGCCTGTCTGGGCAACCCTTTATCTTTATTTTCTCTTGTCACAGAGCACCAGGTCATGCTAGGCAGGCTGGAAAGCACAGGTTTAAACAGCACTTTTCCTGCATTAGGCACCCGGTTTGTGGCTTCTGAGCCAAATGAAAGAGCAGTTTTAAAAGGGTTCTGGGCCAGCCCATGCATCGGTAATGCAGTTTCACTCTGAGGAGGTTTAACTAGAAGGATACAACTCAATAAACAGAGTTGGCTCTACTTACACCTATAAGCAGTAGGCTTCAGCTAGCAGCTAGGCTGACTTAACGTTTAAGGTGGATTACAAGCAATTCAGACAGTGCAGACAGAGCAGCTGACTTGATATTAGGAACAGCAAGAATTTTATCATCTGAATCAGGATTGAGTAGTGAACACCAATCCTTAAGCTCTCCATTACCATCCATGCTACCAGCACTCCCACTACTCCCGGGATTAATATTTACAGCAAAATCCTGAGCACATCCTGGGATACTAAATTTACACTACCAGGATGCAACCACACACATCAGGTCTCTCAGAAAATTGTTCCTCAAACATACATGAAAGCTACTTGGTGCCTCCAAGTGAGATGCAGATACGGTGAATACCTCCCGTACACTGAACACGTTGAAGTCTAG